CTCTCTCTCACACACACTCTCTCACACACACACACTCTCTCTCTCTCTCTCTCTCTCTCTCTCTCACTCTCCCTCTCTCTCTCTCTCCTGTACAGCGGCTCCTTTGTGTGACCAAACAATCAGCAGGGCACACAGGGGTTGCTCCACACTGCAGTAGTGGCATCTGGACTGTGCCAGAATTAGCCGCTCTCCTTACCTCGCTGTTCTCTGTGTTGCTTGTTTGCTTACAGTTATTTATTCTCTGTGAAAGTGAAAAGCGGTGTGGCACAGAGGTCAGTGTGTCCAGGGTAAAGCTGCTTAGAAACGACCTGACAAAACATTGAGGGTTTTCTTTACAGGAACAGGGTTGTGATAGTTCTAGAGTTGACAATGTCACGTAATTTAGGACGGAAGCCAACAACCTGAATTCAGCAAACGGTTACTTGCGTGGGACGAGTCTGCCCCCTGAAGCGGAGATAGCCTATGGAAAACAGGGCTCTAGATTGTGACTAAAATGGTCCTAAATGCGACAAAATATAATAAAAATGTGCAACAATAATTTGAAATCCACATTTGTGAAAGTTTTGCGTGCGTACATTTGCGTTTTTAGTTTCTCATTAGTGCGCGCGCCAATGTTTCCTGCTCACAACATGACACAGCGCGAGCCGTGATGTTTGATTCACGGAAAATGACTCTTAGGAACCGGTTATTTTCAATGAGTCACTCATATAAAATTCACGAAACTACCTCAATTTACCTCGAATTCATTAATTCTTACTGAACTTACTGAGCCAGTTTTCAGAAATGATTCGGGAACCTTTTTTTTTCTTTTTCTTTGTTGTTAACCTGGTAATCCACACTAGTACACTTTTACTAGGCTTTTTCTTTCTTTCTTTTTTCTGTTTTGTTTTTATAACTGTACTGCCTTAAAGGGGTCATATGATGCTGCTAAAAAAAAACAGTATTTTGTGTATTTGGTGTAATGAAATGTGTTTATGCGGTTTAAGGTTCAAAAAACACATTATTTTCCACATACTGTACATTATTGTATCTCCTCTATGCCCCGCCTTTCTGAAACGTGTCGATTTTTACAAAGCTCATCGGTCTGAAAAGCGAGGTGTGCTCTGATTGGCCAGCTATCCAGTGCATTGTGATTTGCCGAATACCTCAAGCGTGTGATGTAAATGTTACGCCCCTTATCATACTGTGATGCCATGTCAGGCCGGAGCGATGATTCAGAAACATGAAAACCCATTATAACAGATCTTCTTTATGCAACAAGGGCTTGTAACACTCCAAAGAGAAAGGAAAAATTGAAATCGCATCATGTGACCCCTTTAATGGTTTGATGTTTTGTACTGTTTAATAGGCAAAAAAATAAAGAAAGAAATCGGACAAAAGGATTCGCGATACGAGCTCCGAAGTTCCGATCTGAATCAAAAGATTCACAATATGTAATCCGATTGGAACGCATCGAAACAGTGAATCATTTTGTGACGCAATGGTTAAACTGATTTGGAGTTTCGAAAAGTTCAGTTTCATCAATCACTACGTGCTTTTTAAAATCATTACAAACGATGTTGAAATTCGAAAATGAATGACTCCTTTGATCTGTTTCTGCTAGTGAATGAAGTTTAAATTTGAATCAATCGGAGCGGTGCCCGCGTAAATGATTCGCTCAATTTAATCGGTTTGTCTGTTATTCCGCTTTTTTGTGCCTTCCTTCAGCCATGTTTATAGGACACTGTTACTCTTATTTCAGTGTTTATTAAATTCATTAATTATTTATTTATTTATTTTGAGGATATTTCAGCTAACAGTTTGCTTTGCACATTCAGTTTAACAATATAAAGTTAAAGAGGGTAAACTTTATCATTCAACTGAACTGTGCACATATGTTTTTAAAAACTTATATGATCTTATATGTTCTTACTCTGCCCATGTATTAAATGTAGGCTACGTCTTTGAACGTGTGTGGTTTTCTAGTGTATTTACTTTAACTTCTCAGGTAATATCAATGGTATGACCTATTTCAGATGTGGCCGAAATTACAACAACAGTGGTTACATATAAATTTATTTAATTGTTTGATCAAAATTATTGGTACAATTTAGTAGTCGCTGGACATTAGTAGGGACATGCCATAGCGTCCCTAATAAATTTCCATTTCCGAGTTGAGGGCGTATCAGTGCAAATCCTACAAAATTTTTTATATATTCCCTTTATAATTTAGCTGGCTCACTGTTTGTTGAGAAAAGGCGCTTTAAGCTCTAGTATTTAAAGTCCTTCCCACCCTCACTGGCTCATGCCTGCAGCTGATTGCCTTTCCCATAATGCTATGGAAGACTTGTATCAGTATGAATTATAAATGGCCAACACATTCCCCACATCCTGCAAAAAAAAAAAAAGAAATAGAAATGCCGCAGAATTCCTCCCCGTTGAGATACACGACGACCATGTCAGACTGTCACTGTGGTTCTGTGACCTGCGATCCAGCGGTGTCGATGATTATTCCTACAGTCTCCTGAAGCATCCTCACAAATGCCATGCTGTTTTTCACACAGAGACAACAATGCTACACGGATGCACACATCTGCTCTAAATGTGTGCACTGTAGCTTTAAGATGATACTCAAGCTGCTCTTTTTGGGTTATATATTGATTAGTACAGAAGCTAAAATGGGAGATCAGGTAAACTACAGGACATCTACTGAAGACTGTGTTATTTAGTTCTATTAGGCTTCCTGTGTTTTTTTCACATTATGAATTTTGTGCATGCTGATTATTATACTCAGATGTCTTAGACATTTAATTTATTTTTCTTCTCTAGGATGGTGGGCTGCACTCCATTCATGGTGGTCTCTTACTTCTACCTTTGGTTTGTCCCACCTTTTACCAATGAGAGGTTTATCTGGTATCTGGGCTTTTACTGTCTCTACCAAACTCTCATCACAGTAAGCACTGTATCCTCTGCTTTGATGTTTTCAAAGTTGTAATGTAATTTAATGTTAAACACAGGTTTACAGATGACCCAGAAACCACATTTACAGCAACATCCATCATGCAGTCACAAATTCCCCACAGATCCATTAAAATCTAATTCGGCCTCTGTTTTACCTTGGCTAAATTTTGGCTTTGTGATGAAAAAATATATACTGGACTGATGAAAAATATATGTGGACCTTCCTCCAAAACTGTCACACAACCCAGTGACCCCCAATATATATATATATATATATATATATATATATATATAAACATTTTGTCTATAAAACACGTGATTTAGAAAAAACATAAAACTGTCTGCAGAGTCAATTGTGACATTCTATAATCATATATTTACAATGTGTAATCATATTTTTAGTACACTGCAAAAAAATTAAAAGAGAGAGAGAGAGAGTTTAAAAATACCTAAAACCAGATACATTTACCTGAGAAGCAACACTGCATAAGATATTAGGACTTTCAGATTTTTAAGTAATAATAAGATAATGAGTTTTAATACACTACCATTCAAAAGTTTGGGGTCAGTAAGGTTTTTAAATGTTTTTGTAAGAAGTCTCTTATATGCTCATCATGGCTGCATTTATTAATTAATAATACAGTAAAAACCTTACAATTGTGAAATATTTTTACAATTTAAAATAACTGTTTTCTCTTTTAATATTTTTGAAAATGTACTTTATTCCTGTGATGGCAAAACTGAATTTTCAGCATCATTACTCCAGTCTTCAGTGTCACATGATCCTTCAGAAATCATTCTAATATGCTGATTTGCTGCGCAAGAAACATTTCTTATTATTATCAACGTCAAAAACAGTTGTTCTGCTTAATCGGTTTTGTGGAAACCGTTTTTTTTTAACAATGGAAAGTTCAAAAGGACAGCATTTATTTGAAATTCTTTACTGTATCTTGCTGAATAAAAGTATTAATCTGACTTTTGAATGGTGTATAGAGTCTCTTATGCAGTGATGCTTCTCAAGTAAAATGATCTTGCTAAAAATGCTTGTCAACAAAAGTTCATGTGGTTATCTATAGCCCAGCCTCTTTGATGTCTGCATGGAGTTTCCATGATTTATTTGTGTTTCTATCCTTTGTTACTATGGCTTGGCGCAGATCTCTCCATACTGTCCTCTGTAAAACCCGCCAATAAGTGCTGGAGTGGAGAAGCCGCTCTGACCGCAGCAGTCTACGCTGTAATGAAAAGTCATTCTAACTACTTGATAAATACATGGTACGACCTGCCTGAAACCACCAGAGAGGATAAATGCTGCTTTCCTCTTTTAGCGTTCTTCATTGTCTGTAAGCACAAGGCTGAGAAACAGCAGCTGCTTCCAGTGTGCATGTATGAGAATGTAGTTTACCTGATTCTAATTAGTCAGTTTTTCATAATTAGGCTTTGGTTTATGTTTAAATAAACAAATCCTTAGGCTACTCAGAATCAAAACCCTTAATGGAAGTTAAATGAACAATATAGGGAACTCTTAAGAAACAGAAGCACCGCTGCAGAAACGCTCTGTAGTTAGATTTATTTTGGTAGCCGTTTGGCCCAATGGTCTGCCGCAGTGCTGACTTGGCTTTTGAGTAAATTGGAAAAGCTAGCCGACTGTAGTACACACTTATAGTAAGTTTGCAATGCAGTATGCAAGCAGGTTTAAGGAAGGTTTGCTGGACTTCGATAAATATTGATTTTGTACTGCACGTTTAAACAGAACAGAACATGTCGCTCTTGGAAAGAATAGCGTTGATTTATGAGCTTGTAAGTTGTTTCCTTTTGAGATTTATAATATGACATAATATAAATGGGTGTATAAATAGGAAATATGAGTGGTTATGAAACCACTGATAAATGAACATGCTCTAAGTTTTGGATTCCTCATCATTTTGCTTGCCTTTTTTTAGATCATCATTTATGAGAGCATACAGAACACTCCATAATTTCTTAACATCTTAAAAATAAAGCATCCAATTAGAACCAAAAATAATTTTATTGCCTAAACCATATAGGAGGTACTATTTAACTTCCATAAAGAACTTTTTATTATCTAGTTACTTAAAAAAACCATCATACTGCTAGAAACCAAAACACTGGTTTGAAGAAGCTATATAAAGCTAAAAATGGTTCTTTGCTGAATCTAAAGAAATACTGAAAAGAAAATGTTCTTTATCTTTTTGCAAGTAACATAAAATGAGTTTGATATGGTAAAATCTAAATTCATAGGTTTTATATTGAGATTTTTTAAGCACATGTTTTGTTTATTTTTTAATATTTTTTCATTGTATACATATGTATATATGTGTGTATTACTCATTATTATATTTTTTTACTTTTTATTTTTTATATTAGCTTGTAATATATTGATATTTAAAAATATAATATAATATAATATTGTTTTGTTTTATTTTACTTTTATTTAAGTCAAAAATGTTATTCAGTAACTGAAATTATTGCTTTTTTCATTGTGCAATAATATATTGCATTTTCATAAGACATTTATTAACATTTCAATATTATCTCCTTTTATAAGTAGACAACTGCAAATTTTTAGACTATTATTAATCATTAAATTTAGGTATTTGTATATAAATTATCTTATCATATCATATTGCTGCCATATCTTATCATATGGCATATAATTTTCTATGACAGTAAATAAAAGTAATTGCTCAGAATAAGAGTTCACATCTATAAGTTTCCATATTATTCACTGTCTGTCTTGTGTTTTGTTCTCAATCTTTCTTGCAGTGTTTCCATGTGCCTTATTCTGCCCTGACCATGTTCTTGAGCACCGACCAGCGCGAGAGAGACTCTGCTACAGCTTACCGTATGCTTACAGCTACACACACAACAGTGTTCATCTTTAAAGCCATGTTTGGATTGCTCTAGAAGATTAACAACATCTGATTTCATTGTGCCCCAATAATCCAAAAACAAATGCCTGCCAAGTGCTTATATTGAGAACTGTGCATGTTTGGAAATGCTTTCAAATGTAAATAACAATTAAGAGTAAGGATGTTCTGCATGCATATGTGCAGGTATGACTGTGGAGGTGCTCGGGACGCTGGTGGGGGCTGCCATTCAGGGTCAGATCGTAGCGAGCGCACACACTCTGAAGCACTGTCCACATCGAAACCTGACCACTGGTCACCTAGGAAACAGCAGTAGCGGGACAGAGGTCATCAGATCCCTGACGCTTTCACAGGACTTCCTGTCTCATGCAGTACGTGTCACAGTTACACTTCTTTAAAATTGACCTCAAAGTACACCAGTGAACCATTGCACTTAATGCAGTTCCTTTGGGTCTAAATTTATGTAATTCTATTTTTATGCATTTTATGCGTAGTGACAGTAAAGACTTTTATAATGTTACAAAAGATTTCTATTTCAAATAAATGCAAACGTCAAAGAATCCTGAAAAAAGCATCATGGTTTCCACAAAAATATTAAGCTGCATAACTTTTTTTCAACATGTTTCTTGAGCAGCAAATCAGCATATTAGAATGATTTCTGAAGCATCATATGACACTGAAGACTGGAGTAATGATGCAGAAAATTTAGGAATAAATTACATTTTACAATATATTCAAATAGAGAATAGTTATTTTAAATTGTAATAATATTTCACAACTTTATGTTTTTACTGTATTTTTGATCAAATAAATGCAGCCTTGGTGAGCATAAGACACTAAATTCAAAAACAATAAAAAAAATCGTATCAACCTCAAACTTATGAACAATATATTGTGGTCAATGAGATTTCACAAAAAAGCCTTAAAAAGCATAAAAAAATCTTCTCGACCACAATCTTTCGAATTATATATATGTATATTAATTTTAGAATAAATATAATAGTATAAACCTTTTTTGTTATTTTTACATTTTTTATAGCTGTTAATATATTCATATATAATAATATAATATAATAATGTTTTCATTTTGTGTTTCTAGATTCTAATTCTAGTTTTTAGTTCTAAAAAGAACTGCTTTGCCTAAATTAGGTTTATTTCCTTTTTCAAATGGCTTTTTCCCTGAAAACATCAAGTATCATCTAACCATAAACCCTCCAAAACCTAATTAGGTATGGATTTCTAGATTTTGACTTTCAGGGGAACAATTTATATTCATCAGAGTCCTCAGAATCAATAAATAAATGTGCTTGTTTAGCAGACTGAATAACTCTATTTTGAGCCAAGAGCCACTGAGCTCTATGTCAGTCAAACCCGACATGAAAACGAACTGACAAGCTTGGCCTGCGGATGTGGCTGAGGGTTCCATAGTGGAAACCCATGATGGAGAACCATGAAGGGCCACAGCTATTTGGAGCTGGACTGCAGAGCGTCTCTCTGGTTAAGGCTCTCAGAGGTGGCCGGGCCAGGTTGGGTGCGCCAACCGACTCCTCTGGAACGGCACTTTTGATCTGGAACAATAATGAAGTGCTTGCCGCGGTCTGTGAAAAAAATAGCAAACAATCCTGAGGTTGTTTAGGGCAGAGCAGTTCCTGTTTGGGGGAAATAGATTGAAAAGTTCCTCTTTTCTTGGGTTGCACCTAATTTGGGCTCGCTAAACTTTACAAGACCATACAGTACGGCGTCTGAAGCAGCAAATAGACTCAAATAAATATGATAATTTGTAACATGACAACCAAGTACTGGAATAGAACTCCAACCAAAGATTAAGAGTTATTAAAGACAGATTTAAATGTGTTGACAGAGGTTTTCCATCACCGCTCTGTTTCTCTTCACAGAAGGAAGTGTACATGATAGCTGCCGGAGTGATCGGTGGGCTGCTGGACTGCAGAGCGTCTCTCTGGTTAAGGCTCTCAGAGGTGGCCGGGCCAGGTTGGGTGCGCCAACCGACTCCTCTGGAACGGCACTTTTGATCTGGAACAATAATGAAGTGCTTGCCGCGGTCTGTGAAAAAAATAGCAAACAATCCTGAGGTTGTTTAGGGCAGAGCAGTTCCTGTTTGGGGGAAATAGATTGAAAAGTTCCTCTTTTCTTGGGTTGCACCTAATTTGGGCTCGCTAAACTTTACAAGACCATACAGTACGGCGTCTGAAGCAGCAAATAGACTCAAATAAATATGATAATTTGTAACATGACAACCAAGTACTGGAATAGAACTCCAACCAAAGATTAAGAGTTATTAAAGACAGATTTAAATGTGTTGACAGAGGTTTTCCATCACCGCTCTGTTTCTCTTCACAGAAGGAAGTGTACATGATAGCTGCCGGAGTGATCGGTGGGCTGTTTCTGGTTTGTACGGTGGTCATGTTCCTGGGAGTCAAAGAGAGAGATGGTGAGTGTGTGTGGTAATCGTGTGGCATACATTTGTGTTTTGCAGCTGCATCTGAACGGAAAAGTATGCTTTGTTCACCCCAAAACAATACATTTTCGTGACTTTCTTCTGTGGAATACAAAAAGAGATGTTCGGCAGAAACTGTATTTTCTATACAGTGAAAGAGAAGCGGATTGGAGCTGTTGATCTCCATTAAAAAACAACAAAACATTAGTCCATATGACTTGTTGGCTATATATCCCATGTTTTCTGAAGATACACTATACCGTTCAAAACTTTGGGGTTTGTAAGTTCTTTTAAAAAGTCTCTTATGCTCACCAAGGTTGCTTTTATTTGATCAAATATACAGTAAAAACAGTAATACAATGTAATATTATTACAATTTAAAATAACTGGTTTCTATTTTAATATATTTTAAAATGTAATTTATTCCTCTGATCAAAGCTGAATTGTCAGCATCATTACTCCAGTCTTCAGTGTCACACGATCCTTCAGAAATCATTCTGATATGATGATTTACAGCACAAGAAACATTTCTTATTATTATCAATGTTTAAAACAGATGTGCTGCTTAATATTTGTGTGGAAACTGTAATGCATTTTTTTCCCCAGGATTCTTTGAATAATAGCAAGTTCAAAAGAACAGCATTCATTTGAAATAGAAATAATTTGTATAAATGTAAAGGTTTCTGCTGTCACTTATGATCAATTGAATACATGCTTGATTAATAAAAGTAGTAATAAAAGTAATAAAAGTTTCTTTAAAAAAAAAAATCTTATTGAACGCGAACTTTTAAATGGTAGCATATATGATAGCTTTGTGTGACACACCAAAATCCGTTCACTTATATTCAAATGTGGCATGCAAGCCAAGTTTGAATACATGCAAATTTCCCATTTGTGTGTGTGTGTGCTCCACAAGTCTTACTGACTGTTTTAAGCCACATTTTGGAGCTTGACTGTGTCCTTTCCCTCTTTCGTTTTATGGAAAACTGCAGTATAACCATTGTGTCTGAGATGTGTTTTTGCATTCCACTGAAAAAAAAAACTTTCAACACGAAGGTGGGTAAATTATAACAGAATTGTTAATTTTGGGTGAACTTTCATTTAAATGTGTCATAAAACTATCATGCGCTATGCATATACAGTACCTACCATGTCTAACATTTGTGTTTACTGTGCATTTTTGTCTGCGTTAGATCCCTATGCTCCTAAAACAGACAAGGCCATTCCTTTCCATAAGGGCTTTATTTTGGTCATGAAGCACGGGTCCTACCTCACCCTGACGGCTGCTTTCCTTTTCATATCCGTGGCCATCCAGGTAACATGTTTTCCCTTTAGTATGTCGTTCTAGAATGTGTTCAGTTGGTCGTTGTGTGGAGCAAACTATGTAACTAAATAATTATATTGATTAGAAACGTATACAGTTTCTTCAGATTTAAAACTCTGAATACATTGCCAGAATGTAAGCTTCACTGAAAAATAATGTATTCGCCATTCCAAACCCGTAGGCTATTTTTCTGATGGAATGTGAAAGTAAAAAACTTTAATGTTTGGTTGAACTATTCCTTTAATCACGGCATTTCAGGCTGGATCAATTAATGAGATCATTAGAACTGCATTACATTTCCATTTGCCGCTGTTTCCTTTTGCAGCTGATACAAAGTAACTTTGTGCTGTTCTGCACATATGCGGTGGAACTTCGGGATCACTTTCAGAACATTGTTTTGACAATTCTGGTGAGTACCTGATGAAGACATGAAAAGTTGACAGCACTATGAATTTAATTCAATGAATATTCTGACCTGCCATTGACGCTCCTCTGCAGTCGTTTGTTTAGTTACTTATCTGACATTAAAAGAAAGACAAAGCTCTCTATAATTCTTTAACATGTATCCGTGTCTTCTGTTAAGTGGGTAAAGTGAATATGTGACAGATTTTTTTGTACTGTATATCTTTCTAGATGTCGGCAGCAGTGAGTATCCCATTCTGGCAGTGGTTCCTTGAGAAGTTCGGGAAGAAAACAGCAGCTTTCTGCGGCATTACAGTAAATGTTACTTCATCAAGTGTCCACCCAAAAATGAACATTCTGTCATCATTTACTCACCTTCTACTTGTTCCAAACTTGTATGAGTTTCTATCTTCTGCTGAACACTAAGGAAGATAGTTTAAAGAAATAAATCAACTAAACAGCTGACGGTAGCCATTGACTTCCATAGTTTGTGCGAAAACTGAAAGATAGCTGAAGAAAGAAGAAATTCATACAGGTTTAGAACAATGTGAGGGTGAGTAAATGTTGACAGAATTTTCATTTTTGGGTGCACTATCCCTTTAATCAGAGATTTGGAGGACTCTTTATCCAATACATCTTGAACTTCAGTAGTATTATAAATGATCAAATGATACCACCATATTTTGAATAACAATAATTGGATATTTTGACTATAATAAATGTTATAGTGTATGGCAGTGTTGTTATTGTTAACTAAAACTAAAACTTGTTTCTGGTTATTGAAATAAAATGCTTAGAAATGTTTTGGTAACAAAACTATTAGAAGTATTTGTAACAAAAAATGAGAAATGTTACCTTAGCAATTAACTGAAATAGCTGAAGTACCGAAATTACTAAAACTAAAAGTGAAATAAAAATAAATTAACACTTTATAGAAATATACAAATTATAATAATAAAATAATACCAATTACAAAAGCACTTGACAAAATTACTGAAAATTAGTTAAAAATGAGTAAAACTTAAAATATAAAAGAAAAGCTAATTAAAAAAGAATAAATATTATATCAATAATATTAAAATGACAATAATAGTAAAATTACTTATAGCAAAAACAAACAATTTCAGTTTTTAATTAGAGAATACCATACAGTTTTTTAGCTTCTATGTTTCTGCAGTTTATAATATGTATATACCTACATGACCTGCTACATTTGCCAAATGTAGTAATAATTTATACTGCTATACCATTTTTTAGAGAGTAAATGTACTGTATTGTGCTATGTAGTAAACTGCACTGTAGAAAATGAGTTTTTGAAGATGCAAATAAAACAAAGATTATTAGAATATTTTTTTTTACAAGAAAATACTATTTATTTCAGTCTTTATACTTTAAAATTTCACTTTTAATTCAGTGTATTTGTAAAATTTAGGCTACTAGTAAATTCTGTGTGAAAAGTATTTGTGTGTGTGTGTGTGTGTGTAATATTCTGATACAACAGTGTTCTTTAACTGTATACTGACACCTGTTGGCATGGATGCAGCATCACACTGATGTAAAAACATCACATTTGCAAGCATAAATGTGATCCATGATTCATTTAATCTGCGAGTGTCTGATATTAAAGGCCTTGCCAGAATTAAGTGAACAGTATTCGGCCGGTCACGAGATCTCAAAATCATATATACAATTTAAATGGCCTCTTCTAGACCACTAATATGACTGGAGTCATTTAAAAAAAATGCATTATTCATTTCTGGAGGTTTATTATTGCTCCTTTAAATGCTAATGCATATGTACATTGGGTAACATTCAGTGACCTCTTTTAAATGTTTTGTCATGTGTGCAGTGGATCATGCCGTTCACGGTGATGCTGGTGTTCATCCCTAATCTGATAGTGGCATATGTCGTGGCCGTATCATCTGGGTTTAGTGTGGCTGCATCTCTCTTGTTACCATGGTGAGTCTTACAAACCAAAATATAAATGAAGTGTAGCATTTCTGTTTTAAAGTACTGTTCGGTTTTGCAGTGGCGATGAAAAATGAAGCATTTTCTTTAAAAAATGTAGTTGATGCCATGTATTTAAAAGTGCAGATTGTAAATTCTTGTTTATTTAAACCTCCCAAGCTTTGATTTTACCCCTCGGATACATAGGTTTAATAACCCAGCAGTATCCAAATAACAGGTTTCATGGCAGGGTCATGCTATTTTTTTGGTTTTTAAAGACACACTCGGGTTGATTGGAAAAGCCCCAAATGAGTAAATTGCAGTTTTTATGTGCCGACTACAAAGAGGATTTGGCTTTACGGTACCAATGTCCATGTTTAATAGCGATGATTATTGAGGCCTCCGCTGTGTTGTGTTTCCTGTTGCTCAGGTCAATGTTACCAGATGTAGTAGATGACTTCAGACTGGCAAACCGCAACTCAAAAGGACACGAGGCGATCTTCTACTCCCTATATGCTTTCTTCACAAAGTTTGCTGCAGGCATTTCTCTCGGAGTGTCGACTCTCTGTCTACAGTGAGAGCACACTTTCAGTATTTACGGCTGGAGATGATGAATCATGACAGATAGTGGTGTAAACATTTTAAATGTATTGTCCATAGGTTTGCTGGTTATGACACAGGAGCGTGCAGACAGCCCACTCCAGTGGTCTACACGCTCAAACTGCTCATCGGCGCCGCCCCGGTGGCCTGTATCACCACAGGCCTCATGATCCTCGTGGTGTACCCGATCAGCGAGGATGTCAGATTACGAAACAAACTGGCCCTGGAGGAGCTCAGGTGACGACCCTGATGTCAGGTTTACATAAAACCCAATACTTTCATTCAGCAAGGACGCATTAAATCCATCAAAAGTGACAGCAGTAAAAACATTTATAATGTTACAAAAAAGTCTATTTCAAACAAATGCTGTTGCTTTGTACTTTCCGTTTATCAAACAATCCTGGGGGAAAAAAAAGCAATCACGAAAATATTAAGCAACACAACTTTTTAACATTGATAATAAATGTTTCTTGAGCAGCAAATCAGCATATTAAAAAGTTTTCGGAAGGATCATGTGACACTGAAGACTGGAGTAAAGATGATGAAAATGCAGCTTTGCATCACAGATATCTCTTTGGGTTTGAGATTTTAGTCTTTGCAACTTTAGGGATCTTATCTATTCACGAACAGCTTGTAACACTCCAAAGAGAAAGGAAAACTTGAAATCGCATCATATGACCCCTTTAAAAAAAAATTACAGACTCCAAACTTTTGAACGGTAATGTGTGTGTGTGTATATATACTGTATATAAAATGCAAATATGAAAAATATATTTTTGTATATTTTAGAAATAATATACATTTTTACATTTGTATTTATTTTATATATCGATATATTTTGTATATACTATATATAATGAAATGTACATATATTTGGTTTCTTTTTCAGAAGCCAGAGTATTACCTGTAAATCTCTCAGAGCAGATCTGAGCAGCGCGTAACGTCCTCAAACAGCCGATCCTGATATTCTAGCCCAGCGCTGGAATGAGTCGTGTTAGTGTATATTACACTGTGTGAGATGAGTAATGTTTTACTGTAAACATTTCAGTTTGTTTCTGTATTTTCAAATGAACATATAGCCATATACAGTATTACAGTATCTAATCTATACACTTGAATGGACTATATATCATTATATATCAGGATTTCCTGAGGTAAAATATACCGATAATATATTAAGTTGTTTTAGTCATTATAAATATTATTGAATGACTTGATTACAGGATTAATCAAAATTTTGCTGGTTCACATAGCTTCAGCATATTTAAAAAATGCTTCAATAAATACAAAATATAGAAACATTATTATAAAAATACTGATTTGGTTGAATTCATCAATCTGTGTTTGTACAGTATGTTTTCAAACATAAGCCCAAAGGTCAGAAGCCAGAGTATTACCTGTAAATCTCTCAGAGCAGATCTGAGCAGCGCGTAACGTCCTCAAACAGCCGATCCTGATATTCTAGCCCAGCGCTGGAATGAGTCGTGTTAGTGTATATTACACTGTGTGAGATGAGTAATGTTTTACTGTAAACATTTCAGTTTGTTTCTGTATTTTCAAATGAACATATAGCCATATACAGTATTACAGTATCTAATCTATACACTTGAATGGACTATATATCATTATATATCAGGATTTCCTGAGGTAAAATATACCGATAATATATTAAGTTGTTTTAGTCATTATAAATATTATTGAATGACTTGATTACAGGATTAATCAAAATTTTGCTGGTTCACATAGCTTCAGCATATTTAAAAAATGCTTCAATAAATACAAAATATAGAAAAATTATTATAAAAATACTGATTTGGTTGAATTCATCAATCTGTGTGTTTGTACAGTATGTTTTCAAACATAAGCCCAAAGGATTCTTTAAATTTAATATAAATAATAATCAGGCAATGCAAAATGTGCAAAGGTGGACTTAGATTTTTTTTTTACAAGAAAAGACTTTTTCAGTTTTTCCACTTACAAACATTTCAGTTTAAATCAGTGTTACTTGCAACTTCTTTGTAATTATTTCTAAAATGTAAGCAATTTCTGAGTGAAAATTGTTGCACCATTCATTTTTTTTTTCATTGTGTGAATGTGCTATTATGCAGTTCTTTTAATGTGGGTTATAATGTCTGTCTTACAGCTTACAAATCAAATCAATTATGAAACAAAAGAATACAATCACTATGAATCTTCTTTAATTTCACATTACATGTACCTTCATTTCGTTGTGTGGGACAAAATAGAAACTATTCAAGCAAAAATAACCAAGCAGGCACTCAATATTTCTTCTGAAAATTAAAAAAAAACTGTTCTGCCCTTGACAACTGTCACATTACACAAATCTATCAACATAATAAATATCACAGTGGCGAATATTGTCGTTTTCCCTGAATTCCAAACAAAAAGTTTGGAATATCCCTGTGTAAGCCACAGATATCCAGCTAACACAAGACAAATATCATAAAAATATTTCTAATAAGTCCTCTTATGATGATACAAGCTTTATTTTTCTGCATTGGGAGACACTGGACTTTCAGGTGGAAATACATCAGCGCAGCTCGGGGGTCTTATAGGAGATTTCCTTCTCGCACTCCTGATTGTGAGCTCATCTTTGTGTTTAAATGTTAGTGGAATGAAACCATCTGCATCAGCCACCAAGACGATCCACATGGGACCTGTGAGAAGAAGAAACATTTATTTAAAGGAATAGTTGAAAATGTACTCCCAAGATGTAGATGAGTTTGTTTATTCATCTGAACAGATTTGAAAAAATGTAGCATTTCATCACTTGCTCAGCAATGGATCCTCTGCAGTGAATGGGTGCCGTCAGAATGAGAGTCCAAACAGCTGATAAAAAAACAACAATAATCCACACCACTCATCTTGTGAAGCGAAAAGCTGCATGTTTGTGAGAAACAAATCCATCAAATGTTTTCAAATACAAGTCCTCTATTCATTATTTTGCTTTCTCCAGTGAAAAAGTCATCTCATCTGAATCAGGAGAGAAATATGCACAGATCAAGTACTGTTTACAAGTGAAAACAGTCCAAAATAGTTTGAAAGAAATATGTTCAGACAACATGGGATGGACTTTTTCACTGGAGGAAGCGTTATTATGGACTTGTATTCTGATCAGAAGCATTGTTTTAATTATGGATTTGTTTCTTACAAACTTCACAAGATATTGATGGACTGGACTGGAGTGGTGTGGATTACTGTGATGTTTTTATCAGCTGTTTAGACTCTCATTCTGACGGCACCCATTCACTGCACAGCATCCATTGTTGAGCAAGTGATGGAATGCTACATTTCACCAAAACTCTTCCGGAGAAGAAACAAACTCATCTACATCTAGGATGGCCTGAGGGTGAGTCAATTTTCAGCCAGTTTTCATTTTTGGGTGAACTATTCCTTTAAATCTATGAGAAATTTCTGCACAGTAACTTGTGGTCTTAGCATAAGTGACTGTGGTTCAAGCATACATCAGCTGTAGAGATGCACAGTACAAAAAGCTGTAAGCTGATTCAAACTTAAACCCTCAAATCCGATTGCTCCACGTAATCGCTTCCTATTTTAGTCATTGACAATTGAAGCCAAAGCACACCAAACAATCTGTCTTCAACAAAGGAAAACAGGATTCGTGCTTTGCACGGCTTTATTAATACATCCCATCTGCTCATTGCAAAACAGCAAATCTGCCTGAAATGTCAACACAAAGATCTTAGAAATGTTCAGGTGCTTTTTTCAGTGTGCAAAAGTTGCAACTATTTTTCACATTTCCATTCAAAATGTCACTTTTTCCTGGATACGTCTTGGCCAGCATTTTTAAATTGCCTAAAATGTCTAGTTTGGGCTTTGTTCTCCCATTGTTTTCACACTTGCTGAAGGCAATAACAAAGTTTGACCAATAGCATACAGGCATTGTACGTACGTAACTGGATCTACAACGACAGTGTCTCATATTATCAGCAAATCTGCCTGAAATGTCAACACAAAGATCTTAGAAATGTTCAGGTGCTTTTTTCAGTGTGCAAAAGTTGCAACTATTTTTCACATTTCCATTCAAAATGTCACTTTTTCCTGGATACGTCTTGGCCAGCATTTTTAAATTGCCTAAAATGTCTAGCTTGGGCTTTGTTCTCCCATTGTTTTCACACTTGCTGAAGGTAATAACAAAGTTTGACCAATAGCATACAGGCATTGTACGTACGTAACTGTATCTACAACGACAGTGTCTCATATTATTACATATGCATTTATCAAGGTGGTGGGACTGGCATTTTGGAAAGCATCCATATTTAAATGTCATGGAGACACATTCTTCCAGACATACCATGCATCATCTCCACGACCGTCAGGCCGAGGAGTTCCTGCACCACCCGCAGGCAGATCCGCCCCTCACACAGCAACAACGGCCTTCTCTCATCCGTATACACATTCTCAGACAACTGTTTCTAAAGGAAAAGACAAATACAAAGTGCAGCACCATGAGTCACTTTAAGGAAGCATCCTTCACAAAAGACCTGGTCATGTGGTCATGGATTAAGTCTGATGATTCCCCTAAAACAAGTTATGCCAAGGTCAACAGAATCACTTCAAAAGGGTTGTACTGACAAGAGTGAGAGGAATTACGAGTTGGCCTGATGCTTCACAATGCTAAACAGCCTGATGGTCTGACTAAGAGTAAAACGGGCTTTGTAGAGTCTTGGTTTGGATTAGGACTTAGCTCCAGAAGTAAATCATTTAATCAAGTAATCATTTGTTGATGTTAAATTTAACATTTAAATACAAACTATGCAGTATGTGATCTTGAAAAAAACGTCTAAGAAGGTTCACTAATTGTGGAGGGTATTTAACCTAATGGGAGTCGCCACATCTGTCAGCCTCTGCTTTGGAATATGAACAAACTCTACAATTCGATTAATGCATTGTCAATAAACATAAAAAACAAAAATCAACAATGAAAATGGCTGACAACAAATTATTGTGTTATAAATTACTATAATGTGAATTATTATAATAATAATAATTACTATTTATAAGAATTATAATTTAATTATGTATACATTATTTATAAATTCATGAATTATTTACATTATAAATTATTGTAATGTAAATTATTATAAATGATGATAAAAATAATAAAGAATTATAATTTAAATTATTTATAAATTATGTTATTTATAAACAAATGACAATTATAAAGGGTCTGTGCTCTTATATGGTATGCTCACATTTACATTATAAATTACAATAATGTAATTAATAATAATAATACATTTATATTAATTATAATTTAGGTTACTTATCAATTATATTGATAATTTATAGTAGTATTAAATTGAATAATAATTATTATTGTTATTAATATATATTTCATAATAATATAACAAATTATTCTAATACAAATAATTTGACATTCTAAATTATTCACACAATATGTAGCTTTTTTTTTAGACCCTTCGAGACTATGGGACAAGATGTTTTTTCAATACAATGCTGGAAATCAAATCCTTTATGCAATAATTCAAATAAATAAAAAACAAATTAGCACCTTCATTTGTCTACTACAGAAGACTGCAGACTTTCCCTGCACGATTTAAAAGAGAACCGTGGAACATTTCATACCTGACATGTAATGTGCACATATTGCGGTTCATAAGCAGACGGATAACTGCATGCAATCTTCTTGCCATTCTGGGTGAAGTCTCTGATTTCTGTGAGGCACTGCTGGACATCAGCAAATCGGGTAAAAATCCTCTCCATGTTCTGTGTCAGCTGCTCCAAGTTCTTTTCTTTGGATTGACAGCTGTTCTTTGGTGGCGTTGCATCGGAGTATAATTTTTCCGAGGCTTCGTACCTTGGCGAACAGGGTCGACTGGAATCCCGGCTGGCCTGACCGGCTACGGCGAGCGTGGCCATGCGGCTGATGTGATCCATGTCGTAGGTTTCCAGAGTAACAGAGGAGGCACTGGATGCTCTATCTGAGAAGTCGGCAGAGCTCGCCACGGGGCTCAAATCTGAGCTGTGTACCTCCTCGATTAGTTTCCTCCGACTGGATGGCGAAACAATTACCGAGCCTCCGGGAAGTATAAGATCCTTAATTGATAGACGGTCCTCTTTAGAAAAGTTCTCAGAATGACGTCTAATCCCATGATGTTGGCTCGCCGACTCAGATTTGGTAACCACTGGGGTGGCACCTTCCTCGTCGAATACCAGCTCCTTGGCTATTAGCCTCAAGATGTACTTGTCCGTGTTGGAGGAGGAGAGGAAAGCAGGATCATTGGACTTCTGTCGGCCAATCATGAAGAGCAACATCTTGTTGGTGAAAAAGCACACGCCTTTGGGCCTCTCATTTTTTTGCAGCTGGATCTGCTGCACGTTGGGCATGGAAGAATCCGTGATGCAGTAAACTAGGATCATGTTGCACGTGTTTGATGCCACGGCCACCGTGCTCCCGCTCGGATCGAAGGCGATAATATCAGGGACCAAGATGCCAGGGATGCTGACCTTCCTCGAAGTGGTGACCTTGCGTTCATACGTCACCAGAATCAGATGTGACGAGTCCTGACCTGTTCCCGTCGTATTATCCCGCCGCCTCAAGTGAATGAGCGGACTTGGGTCTGATTTTCGGTGTTTGGCGAGAATGTGCGTTAAATCTAAGGGTCCGGATGAGGAGCCGTGTCCCGAGCGCTCAGAATCACATGATCTCCGTCTGTCCAAATAATAGTCCGTATCCACTGTCAAAACGGGAGAAGGGCGGCACGTCGAAGCCTCTGACTCATTGGTAAGGTCGAATGCGATGCCTGCATTGAGCCCGCAAATTTTATCAAGCGGAAGTTCAGTCGCTACAGCCACTTGAGCTTCGTCTGTAGACTCGATGGCACAGATATACCCACCTACATCGAAAATCGGGCAGAAGGAACATGCCACCAGGCTTTTTTGGATGTCGTTCCAAATATACGAGTGCAACGCACTACCGATGGCGACCACCAGGCGGGTTCCATCTTTAGTCCAGCAGGCACAATGGATCAGACCGCTGCTCTTGATGTCGGCCTTCACGCGACGATTATCGACCCGCACGGAAAACAAGACCGAGGCATCCCGCTTGGTCAAAACGGCTAAGATGTCCATTCTGGGATGCCAGACGCATCCCTGGGAGAGCAGCGGGAACGGCTCACTCATTTCGCAGGTCTGCGTGCACAGGAGTTTGTTCTGCTCTGAAGTGCTCAGCTGAAGTTGCCAAACCGTGATATGCTTTTTATGCTGGACAGCAAGCAACGCCGGAGACCCGGAGCAGCACAACGGCCCCCAGAAGAGTCCCAAGACATGTTCAAACTGTCCAATAACATTGGTGTCACCAAATTTGGGCTCACCATCGACAGAATACAACGACATGAGACAAACCTGCTTACCGTCTGTCCAGGCTATTCCGTGCACCGGGTGAATGGCTTGGTGCAAGGTGTTTAACCCTGTTCTCAAAAGCTTGGCTTTTCCTAGCTCCATGCTTGGTTCAGTTTCTCCGATGGAAAGGAAAATAATGTTCCTGGTCAAACAGAAAAAAAGGGTTTGAAGTCAGAGTTGAGAGATAGATGTAACTCTGTGCTTCAGTAGGAGAAGACTGCCATCACATACTCCAAGAATAGGTAAAGCCTCTTCCCTCACTCTCTAATCCTATTGGCCAGAGTGAGGCTCCACTCAAGGATGACCCGATTAGGCTGACACGACCCCCAACGTCATAAAACCCTCTGAGGTTGGGATGCTACGTCTTTTGACTTTGTTTTTTTTTTCTGTCCCAGGCCTGAAATGCACAAAAATATATGTAAGACATATATATATATATATATATATATGTTGATATTACAAAACAGTCCATTAAGTTGCAGTCACATTAGTGTATTTCAGCGAAATTCTGCGGCCCAAAAAAAAGTCTACTCTAAAAAAAGTCTTCCTTCCCTGAAAGCAACGTACATCACAGAGACGTCTATTTGACGTCTGCAAGACGTAGTTTTTTTAGTGTTTGCTCATCTGCAATACGTCTATAGGACGTTTCCTATCAGATGTCAAATAGACATTTAGAAAATGTCTTTAAGATGTTTATGATTTAACTAGAATGTATGTAAAACTGACATCTTAAAGACATCTAGCAGATGTTTGTACACAGCAGATGCTTTCCAGATGAAGCGATCTTTAACAGACGTCTTGCAGACGTACGTATGCTATCTGGGTTGTCAAGCGTAGTGATGTACAGAACTCACTTTCAAACCAAGCAGGTCTGTTGGTCAGCAAGGTGAATTCAAGTGATCAACTTGAAAATGAGAAAAATCTGTGTGGGGAACTTTTTCGCCCTCACTCAAAATTCCCAATCGCGCAGATTCCTACAGGAATAACGAGCAATGATAAATGTGACTACATCATTACAAAACATGTTACTATGATAACCAGTTATTAAAACTACAATAACACCATGGTGAGTTGGGAGAAGCCAGCACTGTCGTCAAATAACTAAATAATCATTTTAAACATTGATAGAAAGATTCTAAAAACCCTTTAGAAGGGGATGCTATTTGTATTATGATTTTACAGTAGCAAAACTAACTGTATTAAACATGATATAATAAACTGTGGTTACTAATTTTTGTAATGGGAAGTGAGTTTGAAGTTTACAGTAGTAACAATAACTGGTAACTATCATAATCTTGCAAAAATAAATAACTCGTGACACCGGCCATAAGGGGCATTCGCGAAAGTTTCACATGTATTACAGCAATACCACATGCTAACGTTACCTTATGAAGCAGGGTATCTAGATCTAGAACATTCCTGAAAATAAAAGGAAAATGTAAGAAACCGCACACAAGCATTCTCAGAAGATAATATTACCAACATACCATTATGCTGCTGACATACTGTGGAAACTATGACAACTCCGCGTGGAGAAAAAACATGTAAACTTGAACAGTGTCGGCATTTCCCCTCGGAGACATTTGAAGTCATGGACAACCGGAAAGAGAATGACTCGGGCATTCTGGGAACTGTAGTTCACACACGTTCAAACTTGCAAAGGGAAGTCTGAGGCTGAATCCGAAATGGCCCCTATACCCTCATTCACCATTCCCTACATTAGGCCACTAATACAGTTCACTTGAAGGAGTGAATGAAAACGAGTGAGTGAAATGTATTTTTATGATCCCTCCTGCAGTAACTTCAGCAGCGTGTAGATTGTTTATCTCAGGACTGTGGTGACAGCATGCAAACAATCGCCTTGCTCAATGTCGTTTTAACAAGAAAAAGATATAGTTTTAACGACATAACATCTCGTTATTACAAGAAAAAATGTCGTTTTAACGACATCTCGCTGTTATGAGAAAATATGTCGTTTTAGCAACATAACATTTCTTTATTACAAGAAAATATGTCATTAAAACGACATAACATCTCGTTATTACGACATAATTGAGTGGAGAAAACAAATATGTGTGTGCCAGCAATGCGTCACCGTAGGATAGGGAGCGATTTCAGACACAGGGTGATTCATTTTCGCGAATTATATATATATATATATATATATATATATATATATAGCCTATATGGTACAAGTGCTGTTCAATAGATTTTACACATACACAGTACACTACTGCAGCATGCCACAATCTCATAAAAACTTGACGGATAATCAGAAAGGAATCTTGTCTAATATTTCACCACGGCTTGACCATTGTAGGGCGCGTACAGATAGATCTGATGTGACAGTGGGCGGAGTGCAGTACGTGCTGCTGTCTCACAGTCTGTCTCTCTCTCTCTCACTGTCTCACTGCTGCAGGATCTACACGCGCTAACAGAATGGGTGTTGAGGTTGAAACAATATCTCCAGGAGACGGTAAAACGCTATCATTTAATAAGTTCGAATTTCAAATTCACGAACGTTCTGGCGGAATCGAATGTTGTTTTGATACAATGTTGCGGCAAAAGCGGGATTGCGGGAACATTCTTACGCTCTAATTACATAATCTATTTGCAGTCTAGAATTTTCACCGCATATTATTTGCGTAAAGCTTTGAAAACGATTTCTAACGAAACGCCTATGGCTATGAGGATGTTTCCCGCTCGCTGTCTAGTCAGGGATTTAACGTGTGTCTGTGCCCAGTGGATAATCTGTGCCATGTGTGCCAACTCAAACACTCTCCTCATTATGATTCCTCACTGAAGCTGTCAGATTTCCTCTACAACATGCTGTAGTGTGATTTTGCTTCTGAAATGCAGGTTGATGTTGTTGATCATGTATGTCTCAGATGGCAGCACTCTTGCCCTGGCTAGACATAAGCTTTGATGTTAATTCGAGGGGGGATTTGCAGGGTAATTTGGCACAGTTGGCAGAGTCACTGGGTTTCTGAGACCTGATCTGGTCTAATGGCAGAGTGAGACGCTGTTATGTGTGCCACTTGTTGCATTGCCTGTTTGCTGGTGACACCAAACTGACCGTTTGGACATGATGACACTTTCATTGACACAATTTAGCATTATTTTTTACATGGATGTAGTAGCCTGTGTCTAGTTCTAGTAGTATGTCTAGTTCTAGTCCTCAAATCTGATTGGCCAAACAGATTTAGAGAATAACAGCATTTGGACGACATATGTCCAGTACATATGTTTGGGGTCAGTAAGTTTTTTTTATGCTTTTGAAAGTCTCAGCAAGGCTGCAATAATTTGATCAAAATGCGGTAAAAACAGTAATATTGTGAAATATTATTACAGTTCAAAATAGCTATTTTCTGTTTTAATATATTTTAAAATGTCTTTTATTCCTGTGATTTTCAACAGCCATTACTTCAGGCTTCAGTCACATGATCCTACAGAAAAACAAACAAACAAACAAACATATATATATATATATATATATATATATATATAAAAAAACACATACAGTGGGTACGGAAGTGAAAACAGTTTTATTGAGAATTTGGCTGCATTCAAATACAGTTTGTGAGTACTATCAAATACATTTTTTTGCAAGTGGAATGCATTGTAAATGGTTATTCACTGTTCATAAGGAAATGTCAGCTTTTTTTGGCAGTAGCACTTAGTATATGCATGTGTACAGTACAGTGTCTAATAATTGGTCTTCAGTGTTAGACTTTGAGTGAAAAGCCTATTGGTAGTTTATGGGGATGCATAAAAGAAAAAAAAAATCATACAGAGTTGCGAACCCAACCATGCATACAGAAAAACAAACAAACAAACAAACATATATATATATATATATATATATATATATATATGCTAATATTCATGTGATGCTGTATATCTGTCAGACTCTGTTCTGTGTTTCGTGTGTGTTTTGCTCCCCCACTGCTCCAGGTTATGTCCATGCCCATGTTTGGTCCTTCCTGTTTCCTGTTCCTATTATGTTTATTGATCCCAGGTGTTTCTCGTCTTCCCCTTGTCATGTCTTGTGTATTTAAGTTTCCTGTTTTGAGTTCTGAATTTTGAATGTCGATCCCCCGTGTCCTACGTGTGATTCCTGTGATGTCAATAAATACTGTTAATCCTGATTCTCCTGCGTTCTCCTCGTTCCTCGCTCCTCACCGTAGGCACACCGTGACAGAAAACCAGACTGATACAGAAAAGTAAGCGGCACCCCTTCTCCCTGTTTTGTTTTTGTTTTGAAAAGTCTTTTTGTTTCCCGTTTGTTTCTCCCTGCGATGATGGAAATTGCCGCTCGTTTCTCCCGCAGAGATCTCCCCTTCTTCGAGTACGCCTGGGAATTCTGCGGGCTCGCCGCAGCGACGGCATTGGATGACGCCACCATCAATTCTCTGTTCTGGCTGTGGGCCAACTACCATCGTCCCATGGACCTCCAGGGACACCAAAGGACTATGCTGGAGGGAAGCGATCTACCGGTGTCTGGGGAGTATCCGGGCCCAAGCCAGAACCAGCCTGCCGGCCACGGCTCTCTCCAGCCCGCTGGCCATTCCTCAGTCAAGCACAGGACTATGCTGGAGGTAAGCGATCTACCGGTGTCTGGGGAGTATCCGGGCCCAAGCCAGAACCAGCCTGCCGGCCACGGCTCTCTCCAGCCCGCTGGCCATTCCTCAGTCAAGCACGCCGGCCACGGCTCTCTCCAGCCCGCCGGCCGTTCCTCAGTCAAGCCCACCGGCCACGGCTCTCTCCAGCCCGCCGGACGCAGCTGTCTCCAGCCTGCTGGCCGCTCCGAAGTCAAGCCCGCCGACCATGCCTTTCACCCCGAATCTAAAGGGGTATCGGCTCCAGCCCCAGAGCTCGCTCCAGTGTCGGCTCCAGCCCCAGAGCTCGCTCCAGTGTCCCCTCCAGCCCGCCTGTTCTGCCATGGCTCCCCGAGCTCCCTGTTCCGCCATGGCCTCCTGAACTGCCTGCTCCGCCATGGCATCCTAGTCTGCCTGCTCCACCATGGCTCCCCGAGCTCCCTGTTCCGCCATGGCACCCTGAACTGCCTGCTCCGCCGTGGCACCCTGAACTGCCTGCTCCGCCATGGCACCCCGAGCTCCCTGCTCCGCCGTGGCCCCTGAGCTCCCTGTGCTGCCATGGCACCCTGGACTGCCTGATCCACCCTGGAGGTATTCCCCGTGTCCCATTCCTGCACCAGCCTCCAGGGCGCCCACCCCCGCTCACTGGTGGAATTGTTACGGCGTGGGACACACCTTCCGGGAGGGGGGAGTAATGTCAGACTCTGTTTCGTGTGTGTTTTGCTCCCCCACGTGCTCCAGGTTATGTCCATGCCCATATTTGGTCCTTCCTGTTTCCTGTTCCTATTATATTTATTGATCCCAGGTGTTTCTCGTCTTCCCCTTGTCATATCTTGTGTATTTAAGGTGTTTCCTGTTTTGAGATCTCTGTCCGGTTTTGAATGTCGATCCCCGTGTCCTACGTGTGATTCCTGTGATGTCAATAAAGACTGTTAATCCTGATTCTCCTGCGTTCTCCTCGTTCCTCGCTCCTTGTTCCTTGTTCCTCGCTCCTCACTGTAGGCACACCTTGACAATATCATTTATTTTATAATTTATTATTATTTTATAAAAACATCGGTAGATCATAAGTTTAATTTTCATTCATAGAATTTTTAGCCCAGGTTGTTTCATTTGGCCATTGTCTGTCTTTAAACATTGTCTTTAATGACTTGTCTTTAAGTCACTTTGGTTAAAAACATCTGCGAAATGACACTAGTAATATTCTAACAATTCAACACGTGTCCTATATGCTTACAGTGGTTACATTTGTGTTTGTGTTTATGTTTTTTTTTTTTACATGAGATCTGAATTTGGGGCTGAGTCTAATTATTCCTTTTGTAAGTAATGACCAGGAAGAGTTTAGTGATTCGTAATAATGAGCATTATTATGACATGATCATTAGAAGCTGTAAATAAGTGCTAGAGTGACCATGATCTCATATGATTTTGACACCTTTCAGACGTAGAATTCTTGGAACAAGTCATCAAACTCAAACTGCCTACTGGGGTCACCAGTGTCAGGAATGAATGCCATGTGATGATGCTTTTCTCACTTTGCTCGGGTCTCTTGCATCTGTGGGCCCTCTCCACTGACATCCTATCTGACCCCCACCGGCCTGCTGTCATGTGGCTCACATTCCTGTCCAGCTCCCACACATTAACCAGACACCACCTCCAACACACACACACGCGCACACACACACACACACACACACACATACTTGTATTTGTGGTTTACGAGGACTCTCCATAGGCGTAATGGTTTTTATACTGTACAAACTGTATTTTCTATTGCCCTACACCAACCCTACCCCTAAACCTACCCCTTACAGGAAACTGCTGGCAATTTTTGAATTTCATAAAACACCGTTTTGTATGTTTTTTAAGCCTTTTGTTTTACGGGGACACAGGAAGTGTCCTCATAAACCATGTTTACGTTGTAGTACCCATGTCATTATACACATTTGTGTCCTCATAAACCATGTTTACGTTGTAGTACCCATGTCATTATACACATTTGT